ACACTAGGAGGAATAGTCCCCAAATAATAAAACAGCTTAGAAAAAAAGAGGTCTAAATAAGGAGGCTCGTTAACTTTATGAAATTAATGATATGATACCAATATGTGTCCATGTTAAAACTGGAAGATTTTGCTTCTTACTGTGGTCCTTGCCCATGTTTTTATGTCATTTGCAAATGATTATACCAGTTTTATTCATATTTACAAACACTTCTGGGTAACTTAAAATACTTCTTAGGAATTTCTTAAAATCAGAAAATATTATAGAAAAGAGGTTGATCTTCCAAAAGCACAGCACTTAAGGATCATTTGTACTTGAGTGTGCATGTAGCTGTGTAAGGCCTTTTTACTCTCCCACCATCCTCTTCTAAACAGAACTGCTAACACTCAAACATGTTAGCTTATGTGGTAAACCAAATTTCTCTCTTAGCTCCAGCTTCTGGGCTGCAGAAGACAAGTTCCCTTTCATAGCTACTATGATGACAATAAAAGCAAATATTTCCTAGATAACATAATTTATAATATCAACTTCACCAGTAGATTTCACCCTGTTAAGCTTCAACAGTTGCTTAGCAAAGGAAAACAGGTTTATCATGCAGTGCCTAAATCAAGCTTCATACTCCGCTGATGAAACTGCCAAAGCCAGTTTGCCCAGCAAGGAGTGGTGGAGCAAGAATAACGTTGCTGAAATCACAGAACAGCCCTTCTGCATGATCCGCAGTCCCGAGGGGCGAGCTGTCTGCCTCCAGCCCGTCAGCCTATTGACCACCTATCAGCTCTCCACAACAGGAGGTCCTCAGCGCTGCCTGGACTTGTGACCACAGATTGGCAAGAGAGAGGATATACAAGAATATTTTTGCTCTATAAGTGCAGACGTTTGTTATCTATCAAAAATAAAAACAAACAAACACAAAACTGAATGACTAATTTTGTGGCCTTCCAGAGCAGCTAAGAAATATATTTGGCAGTGTTTAATACGTCGAAAATGATTAGATTAGGGTAAAACACTCAAGATAAAACTGAGCCAAGCTCTAAATATGGCTGGTGCAGAAGGCAGATTAATGATTTCCACTGCTGCACAGTGACTGCAAAGGCAGTACTCACACTCATCATGCTATTCCTCGAGGTAATAGTTTCCAAATCTGATAGAAAAATGGCTGCAGATTTCCTTCCCTTGTATTTCTCCCTCAGGGTGCCTTGTTAACTAATTTACCTGCTGCTGTTTCACAGCAATTCCCGTGCTAATCTGCTCAGTACCTTCTGGATTGTTCTGCCAGTCAAGCTTCGCTTTTCTTCTTAATCCTGAACTTCATGCAGCAGAGATGAGAGCTCATGTGATTGCCTTGTGTGCTGTCTAGTTTTGAACCATTCTGTGGTTTGGGGAGTGCAAGAGAGGAACAACCCACAAGCATAGAAAAACCCCAAAGTGCCAGAAAGCTTGGAGAAAGACCAGGTACAGAATGAGAAGAGTGGGTCAATTTGGCAAATCTGACTCCAGTCCATTATCAGTCTAGAGGCTCCCACTGTAAACTGTGACAGCACTGTAGCCTGTCCTCACCATTGCCTTACGAGACTGCTTAATGGCACAAATATGCAAAGGAAACCATACTATTCGCTTCCCAGCAATTCATAATTTTATGACATTTAAAAGCTATTGCAATGGGAGATGTTCCTACAGGGCACCTTATGCACATGAAGTCCAAGCAGCACAACCACATGAATTGTGAAACATGTTATTCCCTCTAAGTGTTAAGCATTTTTTTCCCTGTTGGTTCCTACCAGGAAAGGTGAAGTGGAACAGCTGGAGGATAATGAAACCAGCATGTTCATAGATTATTTTGAGTCTAGCAACAAAACTGTCTAACCTGTGGCAGAGACTTGCAGTGCCGCCTGGATTTGATTTTACATTATAGCTCATTCCTTGAAACCTGTTATCTCTGGGCACCATACCAAGAACGCTTTCACATTCAAGCATCCTTTAGATTGCAAGCATTATTTTTGCTCTGCTACAACTTTGACTTTTTGTGTGTTCTATTAAAAATAAATAAATAAATAAATAAATAAACAAACATTAAACTTTATGGATGATATTAGCTTCAGAAGGGATTCAAAGAAACCCTCTTATATATCACCTAAATGATTGGGATGGTGGTAACTACTCTATAACAAATGTAGCTGCCTGGCAATGTCTGAGGATCAATTATTTTATTTTTCAGGCATTCCAAGCTACTTGAATAACATCAATACCTAGGTTAGTTTAGAGAAACAATAAAGGGAATGTGTTATTTTCTAAACTCTATCTGATTCCCAGCCATGAAGTGAAGACTCATCTTGACTTACAAAGCAGCACTTGAAATGCATCACGGTATCCCAAGAGATGTTACACTCCATCTTCATTTAAATATTTGTCAAACTATTACATATAAAACAAATCAAAATCTAGTCATGGGTAAGTATTATTAGCAAAAAAAAAAAGGATGAAAATCCAGCAGACAGATGAATTGTTTGTTACAGACTGTCCAGCCAAACCTAGCTATAACCCCCACCTTCTTGTGTTACTGCAAGTTCACATATCCATAGAGTCGAAAGACTCTTTATGTGTTTTGTGCCAGATTTAATTTTAGCTTTGATATTTTGGGCTGATTTTGATTTTAATACATCCGCCAGAGTTAATTTTAGATTTGGGCTGATTTTGATTTTAATACATCATCCCTGAATTTCTAGTTTAAAAAAAAAGTAGGAAAAAAATAGGTTGTTCTATCTTACCTATATATGGTGCTGGATGCATGCATGAAACCAGATTTGACATCAAAGATATTCCCATAATTATGCATTGTTTATAAAATACTTCAAAAATATAAAGAGTTATATAAGTGATAGGTGTTACTGGGAGTGCTGTATTTCTACATGCATATGGAAGGTGGGTAGATGTTTATAAGTAAAGTGCAGTTAGTATGATGAACATTATTACTGTGAGTATTATGGAAGAAAGATGAACATGTCAATAGTAGGAGATACATAAAATGCCAATCTATGTTTTTTGCAAAAATGCTCAGTGAATATGAGGGAAATTTTAGACTAGTTTAAATAAATAAATCAATAACAGCTTTACCATCCACTGCACTCAGAGGGTCCTTTGGTTTGTTCTGGGAAGAAGATTTCTGGTTCAGCATCTCCAAACTTGGCCCCAGCATTCCAGGTGGAGGTCTTGGCTGCAACAGGCTCTTCATTTCAAAATCTGCTTTTCCTTTGGTAAAAGTTCCATCAAAATGACTGACTTGAGAAGGATAGAGCCTGCTAGCATAAACCTGAGACCCTTTAGTCCTGCTGGGAGGGCTTTTGGCATTGCTCTGTGCTGACAGGTTCTGCGTGATGTACGTGTGTAGCGTGGCTATCAGGGCATTTTGGTCAGGCTCCATTTCTGATTCTGGTAGCGGTTTGTCTGGCAGTGGCTGCTTAAGGGTCTTTCCAGGAAGATTTTCAGCATGTTGTTGGTGGGATGTGGATGTGTGGGCCAAAGCAGGGGCGCTCTCTTTGGGCTTTTGCCTCATGTAGTACATAATGGGATCATTGTAGATGTAGCTCTAGAGAAAAGAAAAGGTAGAAAAAAAAGACATTATAATGATTACTGTTATGCAGGAACCAGAGACACAATTCTTTCTGTCTTATCAATCATGAAAAAAAAAAAAAAAAAAGCATGTGATATAGCTATGGACTGCAAACTTCAAGCTAGCAAGTCTGCTTTAAAAAAGCACTATCAGTTTGTTACCAGTGTGGTAAAACAGCTTAGTAGATCGTTAGAAGCAAGAGAAAGAGATTAGAAGGACAATGATAAAATTCAAACTTGATTATGACTGTATATGCATTATTTGCATTCCTTTGGACAAAGAAGATTGAGTGAAAGCAATTTGCCTTTTCCTTTTTACTAGTTTGCTAAGAATAACGTTTTTTCAGGTTACTTGCTAAAAACTAGCATCTCAAAACAAAAATATCCTTTTACAGAGAATGGTGAGAAGTCTATAGAATAGTTTTGTGCATATAAAATACTTTTTTCTATTTAAAACTAAATAATTGATTTTTTTACTAAAGTAAATTTCTAATCAGTATGTCCTTTGAAATTAAAGAAATAGGAAAACAGTCATTTTGAATTGCTTGATTTTTTTTTAAGTAAAACAACTTGGGAAAACAAATAAAAATGTGCAAAACCCACATTGTTTTTGGTAAAAAAAATACTGAAAAGGTTTGGCCAGCACTAGATCTTTCCATTTTCAGTTTCAGATTTTTAATGTTGCCTTAGCTGGGAGTCTCACATGGCAAGAACACACCTACTCTTTTCACTGACTCTTCATATATGTACTTTTTTGACAAAATTTGGGTTAGCACACTAATCTAGCTGCCCCTTAAAATTTATCCTGTTAAAAAAATACTCATTAATTCGTATCACATTTGCTATAATTAAATCCTAGAAGCATTTTTGTTATGATCACAGTCCAAAGGCAGAATTTTATCTTTTTGAGAAACCATTTTTCTCCTCCTATAGAATTTCAGAAGGCCTTTTCCTCCATTCCCTACTGAACACGAATTTCAGCTGAGACATTTACAGGGTACAGAAATATTCCAATTAAATTCTTGGCTAGTTTCTAATTCCCTTGGGAGAGCGTTTGCTCTAAGTGCATCATATGCTGTACATATGTTGAATAACTGTTCCCAGACATCAGCTGTGTCCTCTTGGTTAAAGTGTCCTACAAGCTGCATAGCTGCAATGGAGGCTTCGCAGAGGCCTTCTCAGCTCCACGAAATGCAGCACACTGCTCATCTACCTTCACACCAGCACAGAGAGCCCAACAGATTATGTCCAGCAAGAAGAGGTTAAACACTCACAAGGAAGGCAATTAGAATTTGGCCAGAAAATCATTATTTATGTATTTCCTACTGGGTTTTGTAAGGCCCTTAAGATGCTCAAAAGATGAATAAAAACTGTTAGATTTTATCTCATTGTGTATTTTATGAACTATAATTTTGCTTTCCTTCAGAAAAAAAAAGTATTACTTCGGATAACAGATGATTTTATTGCACACTTGATTTGTGAGAGGTCTGTTCTCCCTCAAAGGATTGAGGAATGAGGTCGGTTCATGGTTTCAATCTGTG